AACCTCTCTTCTTGAAGTTCTTGATGATCCGATAAATGGTTGATTTAGGTGCAATCTTACTAGCAGCAATATCTTTGCCTGTGAAGCCCTTTTTCCTTGCAGGTAACCATGGTTAACAGAGGAAGAACAATGATTTCAAGCACCACCCTCCTTTTAAATCTTTCAGTCTGTTATTCTAACTCAATCAGCATGACAGAGTGATCTCCAGCCTTGTCCTCGTCAACAATCTCACCTGTGTTAACGAGATAATCACTGACATGATGGCAGATGGTCCTTTTGTGGCAGGGCTGAAATGCAGTGGAAATGTTTTTTGGGGGGATTAAGTTCATTTTCATGGCAAAGAGGGACTTTGCAATTAATTGCAATTAATCTGATCACTCTTCATGACATTCTGGAGTATATGCAAATTGCCATCATCAAAACTGAGACAGCAGACCTTGTGAAAATTAATATTTGTGTCATTCTCAAAACGTTTGACCACGACTGTACACACAATACCCCATAATGACAAAACAAAAACAGGTTTTTAGACATTTTTGATAATTAAAAAAAACGGAAATATTACATTTACATAAGTATTCAGACCCTTTACTCAGTACTTTGTTGAAGCACCTTTGGCAGTGATTACAGCATCGATTCTTCTTGGGTATGATGCTACAAGCTTGGCACACCTGTATTTGGGGAGTTCTTCTTTGCAGATCCTCTCAAGCTCTGTCAGGTTGGATGGGGAGCATTGCTGTACAGCTATTTTCATATCTCTCCAGAGATGTTCGATCGGGTTCAAGTCCAGGCTCTGGCTGGGCCACTCAAGGACATTCAGAGACTTGTCCCGAAGCCACTCCTGCGTTGTCTTGGCGTGTGCTTAAGCTCGTTGTCCTGTTGGAAGGTAAACCTTCACCCCAGTCTGAGGTCCTGAGTGCTCTGGAGCAGGTTTTCATCAAGGATCTCTCTGTACTTTGCTCCGTTCATCTTTGCCTCGATCCTGACTAGTCTCCCAGTCCCTGCTGCTGAAAAACATCCCCACAGCATGAAGATGCCACCACCATGCTTCACCGTAGGGATGGTGCCAGGTCTCCTCCAGACGTGACGCTTGGCATTCAGCCCAAAGAGTTCAATCTTGGTTTCATCAGACCAGAGAATCTTGTTTCTCATGATCTGAGAGTCCTTTAGTTGCCTTTTGGTAAACTCCAAGCGGGCTGTCATGTGCCTTTTACTGAGGAGTGGCTTCCGTCTGGCCACTCTACCATAAAGGCCTGATTGGTGGAGTGCTGCAGAGATGGTTGTCCTTTTGGAAGGTTCTCTCATCTCCACAGAGGAACTCTAGAGTTCTGTCAGAGTGACCATGAGGTTCTTGGTAATCTCCCTGACCAAAGCCCTTTTTTTTTTTTTTCTCCCACCAAGCCCTTATCCCCCGATTCGCTCAGTTTGGCCGGGCGGCCAGCTCTAGGAAGAGGCTTGGTGGTTCCAAACAGACATATTTTGGTACCCTTCCCCAGATCTGTGCCTCGACACGATGCTATCTCGGAGCTCTACAGGCAATTCCTTCGACCTCATGGCTTGGTTTTTGCTCTGACATGCACTGTCAACTGTGGGATCTTATATATGCAGTTGTGTGCCTTTCCAAATCATGTCCAATCAATTGATTTTACCACAGGTGGACTCCAATCAAGTTGTAGAAACATCTCAAGGATGATCACTGGAAACAGGATGCACCTGAGCTAAATTTTTGAGTCTCATAGCAAAGATGCTGAATACTTATGTAAATAAGGCATTTCTGTTTTTTATTTTTAATACATTTGCAAACATTTCTAAACACCTGTTTTCACTTTGTCATCATCGGGTATTGTGTGTAGATTGGTGAGGATTTTTTTTTTCTCATCCATTTTAGAATAAGGTTGTAATGTAACAAAATCTGGATAAGGTCAAGGGGTCTGAATACTTTCCGAAGGCACTGTATATTAGGTCCCAAAGTTGACAGTGCATGTCAGAGCAAAAACGAAGCCATGAGGTCAAAGGAATTGTCCGTAGAGCTCCGAGACAGGATTGTGTCGAGGCACAGATCTGGGGAAGGGTACCAACAAATGTCTGCAGCATTGAAGGTCCTCAAGAACACAGTGGCTTCCATCGTTCTTAAATAGAAGAAGTTTGGAACCACCAAGACTCTTCCTAGAGCTGGCCGGCCAAACTGAGTAAACTGACCAAGAACCCGATTGTCACTCTGACAGAGCTCCAGAGTTCCTCTGTGGAGGTGGGAGAACCTTCCAGAAGGACAACCATCTTTGCAAAACTCCACCAATCAGGCCTTTATGGTAGAGTGGCCAGACGGATGCCACTCCTCAGTAAAAGGCACATGACAGCCCTCTTGGAGTTTGCCAAAAGGTACCTAAAGGACTCTAAGACCATGAGAAACAAGATTCTCTGGTCTGATGAAACCAAGATTGAACTCTTTGGCCTGAATGCCAAGCATCACGTCTGGAGGAAACCAGGCACCGCTCATCACCTGGCCAATACCATCCCTACGGTGAAGCATGGTGGTGGCATCTTCATGCTGTGGGGATGTTTTTCAGCGGCAGGAACTGGGAGACTAGTTAGGATCGAGGGAAAGATGAACAGAGCAAAGTACAGAGAGATCCTTGATGACAACCTGCTCCAGAGCGCTCAGGACCTCAGACTGGGGCGAAGGTTCACCTTCCAACAGGACAACGACCCTAAGCACACAGCCAAGACAACGCAGGAGTGGCTTCGGGACAAGTCTCTGAATGTCCTTGAGTGGCCCAGCCAGAGCCCGGACTTGAACCCAATCGAACATCTCTGGAGAAACCTAAAAATAGCTGTGCAGCGACGCTCCCCATCCAACCTGACAGAGCTTGAGAGGATCTGCAGAGTAGAATGGGAGAAACTCCCCAAATACAGGTGTGCCAAGCTTGTAGCATCATACCCAAGAAGACTGTAATCGCTGCCAAAGGTGCTTCAACAAAGTACTGAGTAAAGGGTCTGAATACTTATACAAATGTTATATTTCAGTTTTTTGTATTTTATAAATGTGTAAAATGTCTAAAAAACTGTTTTTGCTTTGTAATTATGGGGTATTGTGTGTAGATTGATGAGGGGGGGGGGGGGGGGGGGGGAAACAATTGAATCCATCTTAGAATAAGGCTGTAATGTAACAAAATGCGGAAAAAGTGAAGGGGTCTGAATACTTTCCAAATGCACTGTATATCCCTTAAACAATGTAAACTATGCTTTGGTCCTTTTATTGCTCACATACTATTTATTTGGCGCAAAATGTAAAAACAATGTAACTGGGAATCAAAATGGCATGCCCATACTCCAATATTTCACAATAATGCCTTGCGATCTGTAGGGCGGCATTTTGCATCCCCCCACTGGTCCAAATGTGGAATCTGTACCTTTACCGATATTATGAACAGTAATGGTTTGAGAACATTCCAAGATTTGAAAAATATGCGTGGTGGGAGGCATGGTTTCTGGGTGGGGAGGGAGGATGCAGGGAGGTGGATGGGGACTGAGGAATGGGTTGGGGTTATCTTTGTATACATTTATTTTATTGTTTTTTTGTACCTGTAATCCCCCGTTGGAAAAAATGACCAAAAGTAAATAAAAAGTTCAAATAAGTAAAAAATCTATTAACATACTTTACAAATCAATAGTCAGGTTTTTTAATAATACTGTTGAACAAGTAATCAGATAAAAATCTAACAAATACTAATAAATAAACATATCCAAAGATAAACTACAACACAGAAATATTCAGACAGCTGTTAGTAAACTTTAAAGACTGTACTTCACACTAGCAGTGAGAAATCGTTTGGGTCAAATCTCTTTACCAAAGAACAGAATTTTAATCTTGTCATCTCCAAAACAGAGATGTTACACTGAAATAAACATTGCTGAAACTGCAATTTGGGTAAAAACTGGGAGTAGTTGAGCCATATACATGTATATTCTCTATACTGTTTGGTTCTGGGGAGAAGAAGTTACTGTATATTACGCATTACACGGTTGAGAAAAGTGGCTCTTCATTTGCGTTTACATCGTCATAAGATGTTTATTGTAACAAATAACAGTTTAAAACATTTATACATACAGTACAACAATAGAAATAAGTAAAAGTAAATAAACAAACATGCTAAATGACAGGATGTAGAGTCCATGCTTACATCATCAGTGTGCGTCAACAGGAACAAAGCAGGAACCAATCCAGCAATTGTTCCACAGCCACAGACAGGATAGAATTGGAGACAGACAACATAATGTGGGGGAATTAACAGATCTAAAATGATCATGAAAGTGCAAAAACCTTTAGGGAACGGTCACTATCACTATTGGATCTGAGGCTGACCTTCCACCAGTTCACCAGTAGAGGGCAATATAGAGACAGCCACTGTCCCTCCCCACTAGTCTCTTCCCACGGCTGCCATTTGTCTGGCCAGCTAGACTTCTCCCTCACTAAGTCACAGGCACAGCCAAACCTAAATCTAACTGGGTTCAGTCTTTTTCAGAGCAATGTAAATCCTCTGTAGCTCAGATGGTAGAGCATGGTGCTTGCAACGCCAGGACAGTGGGTTCAATTCCTGGGACCACCCATACTTAAAATGTATGCACGCATGACTGTAAGTTGCTTTGGATAAAAGCGTTTGTTAAATGGCATATATTATTATTATATGTTACACTGTTAATGTATGCAAGATCATCAGGAAATCATTATAACAGTTATTACTACACTAATACAGCTTATTACAGTATCATGATATGTACATATTTACAAGCAAGGCACTTCTTCACATGAGTTGTTCATTGGCAATTACATTTTTACATTTTACATTTTAGTCATTTAGCAGACGCTCTTATCCAGAGCGACTTACAGGAGCAATTAGGGTTAAGTGCCTTGCTCAAGGGCACATCGACAGATTTTTCACCTAGTCGGCTCGGGGATTAGAACCAGCGACCTTTCGGCGCCTATTCGGTTACTGGCACTACGCTCTTAACCACTAAGCTACCTAAAATAACAAGAACCATAAACCAGGTGATTCTCAGGGCTCTCCCGTCCATCGGTTCCATGGTTACCAAGCTGATGATAATAAGAATACTAAATACTAAGTGCCTGATGCAGCTGGAGTGAAACCAACTGTGTGGTGTTTGTGTGTTTAGCCAGGAGGGATGCGGGGTTCAATCTTCAGGGACAGCTCATACAAAGTGTCTTCATCCATCACCAGAGTCTTATCCAGCAGGAACTGAGTTACCTGGGAGAGAGTAAGTAAGTAAGCATTTCACGGTAAAGTCTACACCCCTTGTATTCGGCGCATGTGACAAAAAACAACTCCATTGATTGACTGTGTAGTGTGTGTTACCTTGGGTTGGTGCTCTATCCTGTAGGGAACTGACGGATCTCTCTGATGATGTGAGAAATCTGGAACAGAGAGAAGAGACAGACAGAGAGATACAGGCTGAGTGACTGACTGTGTGTGTGTGCATGCGTGTGTGAGTTTGTGTGCGTGTGTGTGTTTACCATCCTCATCTCTGGAGAAGTTGACGAGTCCCTCCTCAGTGAAGTTGGGTGTTCCCTCTTCGATGAAGGCCAGGTCAGTCAGATACATCCCCAGGTAGGGCACACACGGAGGGTTGCAGCTGCACATACATCAATCCATCAATCAATATTCACATAATATCCATGCTTTCCTAACTTGTCATAAAGTCCTTAGTGATAATCTGGGAGTAAAACCCCAGAGACACACTTTCACCCTTTTTTTCTTCTCCTTCTTAGTTTTTTAGGGTTTCTCTCAGGTTCTTGAATCGGCCTTCTGATGACACTGTCTTCTGTAGCCTATCCATCAGTGATTTGGTCTGTTTGCAGACTTTGGCCCATGTCTTCTTCAGCCTGTAGATGGCGCTACGGTTGAGAGCTGAGGTGATCTCTAGAACTCCATTATAGTTGTTGAGGCAGCGACAGATACCAGCCACAGCCAACCACTTCTCTATGGAATTAGCCCTGGAGACCATGTCTGTATGGGCAATGATCTGAGATGCTACCAGGTTACTCATCTACAGCAGGACAAAACAGAGAGGGGAGGGAAGAGGAGCGAGAGAGGGGTTGAGAGAAATGGAGGGTGGGAAAGAGGCAGAGTTAAAGAAAAGACGGGATAAAGAGATATGTTAAGATATGAGTATAGATCTGAAGTGCTGGCTGGTATAGAGCTATAGAGTATAGATCTGAAGTGCTGGCTGGTATAGAGCTATAGAGTATAGATCTGAAGTGCTGGCTGGTATAGAGCTATAGAGTATAGATCTGAAGTGCTGGCTGGTATAGAGCTATAGAGTATAGATCTGTTTTAAATCTTACATCATTAAAGTGCTGACTGGTCTTCATAATGTATGGAGTTCTGTCCAACTTGTCCAGCTTCATCCAGCCCTGGCCCAGAAACTCTCTGGTGGACACAGAACACACCACAATTATGCAAAAACAACAACAACAATAGCACAACAATACTATTCTCAGATTTCGAATATACACTCACTCGTAAGGGATGCTCCTGAACACAATGTGGTCTAGCAAGGTGATCTGTTCAGCCAGCTCCATCGCAGACAGAGAATCAAAACACTCTGCTTTGGGACACTCTGTCTGGTAAACCAATATTCAATCGGTTGATATATTTTCAAAATGCCACAAACAGTATTCCATGTCTACACTCTCTCCACTATGAACTGTATACTTTGGGCTTGTTGACAGCTAATATAAACAAATATACACAAGGACACCAACACTTTACATGTTACGTTTATATTTTTGTTCAGTGTAAATCAAGCACACCTCAAATACTTCTAAATGCATTCTAAAGTATTTAAAATACACAATACACACTAAATACAACTAATTTGTTCTGATTCTTTACGGAGACAACTTTTTCACACAGACTATATCGAGACAACGTCTCTAGTCAACATCTTACCAGGATGAAGTGGAGCAGCGGACTTCTCTGTTCCAAAGTCAGCATGCCAAATTACATCACCATTTATTTACTGACTCAACACAGTTTTTACCACTACATCCCTGTAACTGAAATGGCTTAGCATCTATTCTATGTAGTATTTCTGTGTGTGATTGAACCATACTTACCATCTGTAGGATGTCTTCTATCTTGAGTTGAGCATCATCTTGAGAAAGGGCACTGAGGGACAGGCAGAGTCTCATTAATGAATATAATAGTGTGTGTGTGTATGTGGGGGGGGGGGGGGGGGGGACTTTTTGCCGGTCTCCACAAGGAAAAATGATATTTTAGGCTTAGGGTTTAGGGTTAGGGTTACGATTAGGGTTCAGGGTTAGGGTTAGGAGTTAAGGTTAGGGTTAGGTTTAGGGGTAACGGAAAATAGGATTTTGAATGGGAATCAATTGTTTGGTCCCCACAAGGAGAGTAAAACAAACGTGTGTGTGCGCGCATGTACTTTAGCACAGTGGTTCCTTTTTCGGTTACTGTACCACCAACTAAAGTTTGCTCTGCCTGGAGTACCCCTGAAGTACCCCTTCATGTGGATTTTACCAGTAAGCATATGGTCTCATGAATCTTCTTAAGTCTCCCCTGTGGATAGGCCAAATACCCCCAGGGGTCCTAGTACCCCTGGTTGGGAACAACTGCTTTAGCATGTGCGTGTGTGTTTGTGTTTGTGTCTCTGTATATGTGTGTGCCAGTGGCGGTCAGTGGCGTTTAAGATGAGGGAGGACGATTCTTTTTTTTCATGAGCATGGCCTAATTTCTATTACAGCATATTGGATGACTGTCATTCATATTCCATTCACCAAGCTCAATGTAACATCGATAGGTTTAGGCTACTACATGATACTCAAATGTTCCCCTATACCCATCATGAGGTTGCTACAACCTAGCCTATGAATGAAAGTTTACAGCATACAGTTGAAGTCGGAAGTTTAAATACACCTTAACTAAATACATTTAAACTCAGTTTTTCACAATTCCTGACATTTAATCCTAGTAAAAATTCCCTGTTTTAGGTCAGTTAGGATCACCACTTTATTTTAAGAATGTGAAATGTCAGAATAAGATTTATTTCAGCTTTCATTTCTTTCATCACATTCCCAGTGGGTCAGAAGTTTACATACACTCAATTAGTATTTGGTAGCATTGCCTTTAAATTGTTTAACTTGGGTCAAACGTTTTGGGTAGCCTTCCACAAGCTTCCCACAATAAGTTGGGTGAATTTTGGCCCATTCCTCCTGACAGAGCTGGTGTAACTGAGTCAGGTTTGTAGGCCTCCTTGCTCGCACACGCTTTTTCAGTTCTGCCCACAAATGTTCTATAGGATTGAGGTCAGGGCTTTGTGATGGCCACTCCAATACCTTGACTTTGTTGTCCTTAAGCCATTTTGCCACAACTTTGGAAGTATGCTTGCGGTCATTGTCCATTTGGAAGACCCATTTGCGACCAAGCTTTAACTTCCTGACTGATGTCTTGAGATGTTGCTTCAATATATCCACATAATTTTCCTTCCTCATGATGCCATCTATTTTGTGAAATGCACCAGTCCCTCCTGCAGCAAAGCACCCCCATGTGCAGTTGCAAACCGTAGTCTGGCTTTTTTATGGCGGTTTTGGAGCAGTGGCTTCTTCCTTGCTGAGCGGCCTTTCAGGTTATGTCAATATAGGACTCGTTTTTACTGTGGATATAGATACTTTTGTACATGTTTCCTCCAGCATCTTCACAAGGTCCTTTGCTGTTGTTCTGGGATTGATTTGCACTTTTCGCACCAAAGTACGTTCATCTCTAGGAGACAGAACACGTCTCCTTCCTGAGCGGTATGACAGCTGCATGGTCCCATGGTGTTTATACTTTCGTACTATTGTTTGTACAGATGAACGTGGTACCTTCAGGCGTTTGGAAATTGCTCCCAAGGATGAACCAGACTTGTGGAGGTCTACAGTTTTTTTTCTGAGGTCTTGGCTGATTTCTTTTTATTTTCCCATGATGTCAAGCAAAGAGGCACTGAGTTTGAAGGTAGGCCTTGAAATACATCCACAGGTACACCTCCAATTGACACAAATTATGTCAATTAGCCTATCAGAAGCTTCTAAAGCCATGACATCATTTTCTGGAATTTTCCAAGCTGTTTAAAGGCACAGTCAACTTAGTGTATGTAAACTTCTGACCCACTGGAATTGTGATACAGTGAATTACAAGTGAAATAATCTGTCTTTAAACAATTGTTGGAAAAATTACTTCTGTCATGCACGAAGTAGATGTCCTAATCGACTTGCCAAAACTATAGTTTGCTAACAAGAAATTTGTGGAGTGGTTGAAAAACGAGTTTTAATGACTCCAAACTAAGTGTATGTAAACTTCAGACTTCAACTGTAGGTGCACACAGGTCGAGAGAAAGGTGACACAGGTTTGAGGTGACAGACAGTGACACATTCAATACAGTCTTGCACACTCTTGTCTGCATCTAGCTTATCTAGGGTGTAATCATTAGTCCAACAGTTGCAAGCGTGAGTTTCTATTGGTTCCATTTAAGAAATGTTTTTCAACAGAATCGGCGGAATGAATACACCTCTGATCACGCGTAAACACAGTTCACTTTCATAGCAGCCACATTGTATTCCTTCTCGCATCTACACGCTTTCCTCCTCTCACCCTTTCCCTTCATTTGTGGACTTCAATGCACAACACATCAGCTGTATGTGACCAGGTGAAAAAACCTTTCCAAGCAAAACCATGTCATAACCGCTACACACCGCCTACATCGTTGTCCCCATATTAGCTAAAGTAACATCCTAGTCAACATAGCTAATAGAACTAATGCATTAGTAAACCCGCTACAATCAAGCAGTAACATTACAGTGTATAGTCAGTAAGCAGTTTAGCAGTTACACCGGCGGGCCCCGGTGTCAAAAAATTAATAAAACCCAAAGCTTACCTTGACTTGGAAGAGTTCCAGTGTTGTGTTGGATAGTCATTGCCAGCTAGCTAACATAGCATCCCTCTGTTTGAGCTGGGTGTTTGAGTAGGCTAAACTAGCCAGCTGCATTTGCTAGCAATGTAAGTGAAACTGAAAAGAAAATGGCCCTCTCGCTCTCTCTCTCGCTTCTCCTTCATTTTTGAATAAATTAATTTGTTGAAAACTGTTCAACTATTGTCTTTCTCCCTCTTTGAGTCAACTATTCACCACATGTTATGCACTTTAGTGCTAGCTAGCTGTAGCTTCTGCTGTCAGTACTAGATTCATTCTCTGATCCTTTGATTGGGTGGACAACATGTCAGTTCATGCTGCAAGAGCTCTGATAGGTTGGAGGACGTCCTCTGGAAGTTGTCATAATTACTGTGTAAGTCTATGGAAGGGGGTGAGAACCAATAACCTCCAAGATTTTGTACTGAAGTCAATGTACCAAGAGGAGGACGGAAGCTAGTTGTCCTCCGGCTACACCATGGTGCTACCCTACAGAGTGCTGTTGAGGCTACTGTAGACATTGCAAAACAGTGTGTTTTAATCAATTATTTGGTAATATGTGAATATATTTAGTATAGTTTTATCTAAAAAGGATAACTTTTTAAATGTTTAAAAATATATATTTTTATGAAATTCACTGAGGACTCACCTTCCTCCTCTGAGGAGCTTCCACTGGTGTGTGTGTGTGTGTGTGTATGTGTGTGTGTGTGTGTGTGTGTGTGTACCTTACTATGTTGCCAGTGGCTTTCCTCTCCTGAGGCAGCAGGTCGGGGTCTCGTAGCACCTCCTCCAGTAGAGTCATTACACCCATCTTCAGCTCACTGTTCATCTCAAAGTCCTGACACACACACCATTTTTTGATAATTTCCCCAGTCCTCAGTAATTTCCAGTGCAATACATCTACAGAGGATGCTTTAAACCAGGGGTGTCAAACTCATTTTGGCCCGGGGGCCGCATTTGGTCTTCAACAAGGTCCGGAGGGCCGTACTGAAAATGTGTTATATTTCCTCGCCGTCAAAATTTGCAAAGATTTGTCCTCTATCTATTGTTTTTGGAATGTTCGATGCTCCCTGACTGTCTAGCTTTCATTTTGGTGATTATTAGCGAGCTGGACACAGTCAAGAAACTGTATGAATGTAGGTCCATTATCATTGACCATGATGTCCTTCTGGACAGACTGGAGAGGTGGGTTGGCCTCTTCGGTCCAGTTCTAAATTGGTTTAGGACCTATTTAACCGGTCAAGAGTTTGTCACCCTTGGTGAACATAACTCAGAGAAAATATATATCACATGTGGCATTCCACAAGGTTTGATTTTGGGTCCGGTACAGTTTATATATGTTACCCCTTGGCAGCATTATCAGAAAGCACAGCATTGATTTTCACTGCTAGGCAGATGATACACAACTTTACATTTCTGTGTCACCAGAGGATTTTAGCTCCACGGATAAATTAGACTGTATTAGTGATTTAAATACTTGGATGTCTCACAACTTCCTCCAGCTAAATCAAGACAAGACCGAGGTACTTATTGTTGGAGCCAAAGCACAGAGAGAGAATCTGGCCACACGTTTTAATTAACGGGCAATAAAGATAAAACACCAGGTAAAAAACCTAGGTGTTATTTTAGATTCTGAACTCAATTTCGAATCACACATTAGGAATGTGACTAAAATAACTTTTTACCACCTGAGGAACATTGCCAAGGTGTGGGCGTTTCTCTCTCAGGCTGATACAGAGAGACTCATCCATGCTTTTATTACAAGCAGGCTTGACTACAGTAATGCTCTCCTGTCTGGACAACCTAAGAAAGCCATTGGTCAACTGCAAAACATAGAGAATGCTGTAGCATGGGTACTGACCAAGACCAGACGTAGAGCACACATTACACCGGTTTTAAGGTCTCTGCACTGGCTGCCTTTGAGTTTTAGAATTAATTTTAAGATTCTTCAATTGGTTTTTAAATCAATCCACGATTGTGCACCCCAATACATGTCAGACATGCTTTTAAGTTATGTACCCAGTAGGTCCCTCAGGTCTTCTGGCACTGGCCTTTTAACTATCCCAAAACCTAGGACCAAGAGGCATGGATAGGCAGCCTTTAGTTACTATGCCCCCAGCCTCTGGAATAGCCCGCCAGAGAACCTGAGGGGGGCCGAAACTGTGGACATTTTTAAAATATATCTTAAAACACACCTTTTTAGCTTTGCTTTTCCTCAGGGTGTTTTTTAGTCATTCAGTTTTTATTATTATTCTTTAGTTTTTTATCCTCTTATGTTTGTTGTCTGGTAAATATTGCAGTTTTTAGTTTCATTGTTTTTATTATTTTCTTCCTGTAAGCACATTGTGTTGCATTCCATGTCTGAAATAAAGCTTGATGTCTGAAATAAAGCTTGATTTGATTTTTGTCCTTTTAAAGTATATTGAGTTTGTTCCCCCCCCAAAAAAATAAATAAAAACTCAAACCACCCCTGCTGTAAACGGTACTACAGTCATGTCCTGTCTACTACGGTCAAGTCTACTACAGTCATGTCCTGTCTACTACGGTCATGTCTACTACAGTCATGTCCTGTCTACTTCAGTCCTGTCTACTACAGTCATGTCTACTACAGTCCTGTCTGCTACAGTCATGTCTACTACAGTCATGTCCTGTCTACGTCAGTCCTGTCTACTACAGTCTTGTCTACTACAGTCCTGTCTACTACAGTCATGTCCTGTCTACTACGGTCATGTCAACTACAGTCCTGTCTACTTCAGTCCTGTCTACTACAGTCATGTCTACTACAGTCCTGTCATCTCTACTCCAGAGGCCAGGACACCAGGAGGCCCCTGGGGAGCAGGGTGACACAAGCACAGACAAGCACAGAGCAGGTCTGACAGAGGACAGCAGGGGGTAGGCAGTGTGTGTGTGTGTGTGGTTCAGACCTGTGAGTGCTTGGAGACCCAGTGACGCCATACATTGAGGACTCTGTTGGTAGCTGCTCTACGGATGATAAACTCCTTGTCACAGGTCCTTTCACTATTATTGAAACCTAAGAGAAGGAGGTAGAGAGAGAGAGAGAGAGAGAGAGAGAGCAAGATCGAGAGAGAGAGAGAAGGAGAAGGAGAAAGCGAGAGTCAGAAAATGAGATTTACGGTACAGGTATTTACCAGGTGTTGATGTTGTCTTTTACCCTGGGAACTGCTGTGTCCGGCGGCTGCCGTGGCAATAGCATAGGCTGAGGCTGGTGACATCGTACCACGATTGTTCTCCCCCGTGGAACCTCCAGACTGTCTGTATCGCATGTGTCGGTGTGTAGAGGGGGAGCGACAGGGGGACTCTGTCAGGGGGACTCGGTCCTCGACTGACTTGGGGGTTAGACTCTGGGAGGAACTTCTCCAGAGAAACGGTCTCCAGAACAGCTGTTAATTAAAATGCACAGTAAGTGTGTGTTTCTTTGTGTGTGTTTGTGTGTGTGTTCCTGCGTGTGTGTGTGTATGTTTGTGTGTGTATTCCTGCATGTGTGTGTGTGCCAGCCTACCCCTGCGGATGCTGCGTCTGAGTTTCCCACAGAAGGCTTCGATGCGCGGCATGTCTCCTCCCTCTTCCAGCGTTGGGGGGGGGGGCAGGTTCCGGTGAACCGGGAGGGCGGTCCAGAGAGGTGGTGGGAGGGGAGTTGGAGACCCCCGGGATTGTTGGTATGCTGGGAGCCCGAGTAGAGGTGGGAGGGGGGGGGTTGAACCCTGATGGAGCCCAGGTGGAGGTGGGAGGGGGGGAGGAGAACCCTGACGGAGTCCGGGTGGAGGTGGGAGGGGGGAGGAGAACCCTGACGGAGCCCGGGTGGAGGTGGGAGGGGGGAGGAGAACCCTGACGGAGCCCGGGTGGAGGTGGGAGGGGGAGAATCCTGACGGAGCCCGGGTGGAGGTGGGAGGGGGGGAGGAGAACCCTGACGGAGCCCGGGTGGAGGTGGGAGGGGGGGGAGGAGAACCCTGACGGAGCCCGGGTGGAGGTGGGAGGGGGAGAATCCTGACGGAGCCCGGGTGGAGGTGGGAGGGGGGGAGGAGATGGAGGGAGGGTGGGTGGAAGTGGGGGAATTAGCAGCAGAGGAGGAAGGGGTGGAGAGGTCTAGGACTCCTGCCTTGGAGGAGAGGGAAAGTTTGCGGGAGGAGAGGGAGAGTTTGCGGCAGTGGACAGGGGAGGAGGGGATGGTAAGAGGAGGAGAGGAGAACTTGCGACAGAGACGGGGTGATTTGTTGTTGAGGTGCTCTCCGCCCCACGTCCCCTGGTTGGTAGCAAAGAACAACTCCAGAGACCTGAGAGGAGGAGAGAAGAGAGGGGTGGGATAAGAAGAGGAGAGGAGAGAGAGAAGAGGTGGGATAAGAAGAGGAGTGGAGAGAGAGAAGAGAGAGGGGGGTGGAGAAGAAGGGAGTGGAGAGAAGAGGAGAGGGTGGGATGAGAGGAGAGGAGAGAGAGAGAGGGGGTATAAGAAGAGGAAGTGGAGAGAGAGAAGAGAGGTGATCGAAGCGGAGTGGAGAGAGAGAGGGGTGGGATAAGAAGAGGAGTGGAAGCGAGAGAAGAGGGGTGGTGAGGAAGAAGAGGAGGGTGGAGAGCGAGGAGAGGAGGGGGTGGATAAGAGAGGAGGGAGAGGAGAGAAGAGGCGGGTGGGTAAGAGGAGCGGGGGAGAGAGTGAC